TTAAACCATTAATGCTACGTTATTGCTTCTAAGCCAGTCATGCTCAATGTTGACATTTTTGTAGAGTTAAGATGACAGCTAACAACTGGGCCAATATATAGGAATGGTAAACGAAATGCTCTTAATGCTGTCTAATTGTCTGTTTTCCCAAAATTTTGCATTATAGGACTACTACGTGAAGAGTCTGTGAAGACAGCGGAAGACAGCTTAAACTGAAGATCTGCTTTAAAATGAGGTGAAAGAAAGCTGTAGTGGCGTAGAAAAATATAAAGTTGAGTTAGAATTTTTTTTTTTATAAAATTTAATTCAGGACTGGTGTTTCCTCCCAGAGTTCAGAAAGATGTGTTGATAATAGCACATATGCTACTGAGAATATAAGTCCTGTATCCTTTTTTTTCTTTAAGACTTTTTAAGATAAGAAACCAACATAACCTGAACACATGGCTTGCTCAGTGTTTAATTGCAAGTTTTCATTCTTGGACTTTAAAACACAAGAATAAATGTTTAGTATTTGTGTGAATCGAACTAAAATGAATCCCATTTTTACAACTAAGCTATTCCTAGCTTCTTGATATACGAGAAATGGAAATAAAGTATCTTTGAATTTCTGTTACAAATTTGATTGTCTCTGTCATTGAACGTTTAATATTAAGTAAGTTTCTTTCCTAATAAATCTACTCATGTCTTCAAGCTTAGTCCATTAATTTGGATGCTTAGTTATTCTGTGGTGTTTGTGGGTTTGGGTTTCTGTGGTGCCATCAGCGAGTATTGCGTTTCAAGGTTACTTTTTCAGCAATTAGACAGCGGCTGGATTCCGTGTCCCCTAAGAAGAGTGGCTTATGCTGCAGTTGGTTAAAAAAATTCTAAAAATCTCGCAATAAAAATGTAGGTCCTGAGCCTTTATAAAGCAGTTGGACTTTTACAGCATGATCAGAAGGATGCCACTGCTGAGACTGGCCATCGGACTGCCTCGTATTTGCCTTGCGCTATCGGTCTGGAATAGGAATTAACCCCCGCATGCGGTTGGTGAGTGTGCGCGGTCTGCGCGTCGGGACAGGTGCCAGGGAGCAGGCGCGCGGTGCGCCCTCACGTGAAGCTGCAGCGCCAGCGAGCGCGGTTCGCACGGGGACAGACCCACGCTGTGCGCTGGTCACAGTGGAGACGTGCGGTGTGCGCTGGGGCTTTTTTTTTTTACAAAATTATCATCCTTCATCTTAGTGTTCAGGACTTGAGCGCACGCGTGCCTGAAGTCATGCACGGACAGAGCGCTGTTGTGACGCGCGTGTTGTGCTGCTGTGCCTCGCGTGGTCGGTCTGTGGAAGTGAGCTCAGGAAAGGACCTGCACGTGGGTCCCTCCGGTGGAAGGGAGCGCTGGGCGTTTGACAAGGAGGGACACCACGTGCAGGCAGCCCCGTGCCCTCTTGGACTGCGGTCTGAAGCGGACACCCCTGCGGTGGCACAGGGGTTGAGGTTGGGCCGGGGGGCTTTATGGAAAAACTTAACATGAGAATTTAATGCAAGTGGGAGCAAGTAAAATAACCAAGTTCTAATTACGGACGTTGTGTGAACAGCTCTTCCTTTTGAAACTTGTGTAAGAGATGTGACTCGGCTCCTGTCCGGATCTGTCACTTCTTTCAGTGGCTAAAATGTTGTCTTGCACCTCCCATCGCACCTATTTGTTATACGACTGGCCTTTTCCCTTGATTTGGCAGTAGCAAGATAAATGATAAGATATAAATACATAAAATGATACAGAAATCATCATTATATATCATAATGGTATAAATGATAAAATGAGGTACCTTTATAGTAGATTGGACTGGGATTCACCTTCTGACATGTCTGATAGTGGAGCCTAGTGCATGGAAGATGAAGGAAAAATTCTTTCAGAGCACAGAAAACTTTCTAGTAGCTGCCTTCACATGGGACTGCAGCGAGTGTCTCCACTACAGATTCATCTGTCTGAGAAGTCTCATCTTCAGAGCTCGAGCCCAAGAGAAACACAAGCTCGTATTTTCCAGGAATGCTAAGCAAAAACCAAGTAGCCTGTTTAAGTAAGCACCTCCTGCAAGCTTTCTCCATAGTGGTTTTGTCAGCCTGACAGTTTTATTAGGTGTTGAAAATACGCTGGCCCATGATTTTCCAAAGTTGCGTTAAAATTTCAGAGCGTCCTCTGCACTCTCTAGAGTGCTGTGTATCGTTGCCCACCCCCGAAGAAGGATGAGACCCCAGGTACTTGAAACAACCGATACTTTAATATAAGTGAAGAGTAGCAATGTCAGTTCAGTACAAGTTTGTAGTGCAAACAAAAGTTGTCCTTGGAAGATCTGTAAGTTTTGTAAACTTAGTTTCAGTTGTCATAACGACGGTTTATTGTTCAAAGAAAAAACAAAACCGAACAAAACCCAGTTAATGCAAGTAGTGTGCCTTAGAGTTTATCAAACTGCATAAAATATACAAAAATATTTCTCTGAATGCATAGATGTACTGTTATTACGGTCAGATCATGATTAAAGTTTTAGTCTTACCACATTAACAGTTATTCTTGGTGAAAACTAGAGCAAATAAAGCTTTTTTTAAACCATCTGCTCCTGTAGCTGAATGCTCAGTAATTAGTGGAGGCAGTCTTTACACTGATTTCCTAAACAAAGGAACTGAAAAGAAATTAGATATTCTTAATTTTGAGCCATTTAACCACTACTGTTTTTCCAACAGTTATTGCACATAATCTGAACTAGCCTCTGAGCTATGCGGAGAAGATAAAATATACAGTTGTTAAAATAAAACCTCCTTTCCTGTCCTACAAGAACAACAAAGCAGGAGCCATAGTTAGGAAATTTTACTTCATACTGTGTCACAGTCTTGAGCTTACCCGGAGTTGCATCGGGCTCTAACATAGCCCAGCTCCTGGATGGAGAAGGGCCGGGATTGAGAGCGGGGAGTTGGCAGAGTTTAAGGGATAAGATGTGTGCGGAGCAAGTGGGAAAGGTTGATAATGATTTTGAATGCACTAAGCAAGAATTTTAAGCCTAAGTAATGTGGTGAAATGCTGTCGAGTGTCTCTTCTGCCGGCAGAAGGAGTCTGTCTCTTCTGCCATCCGTGCTTTTACTGACCTGGCCTGGAGCAGCTGCCTCGAGGGTAAAGCAGGAAGCTAAGCCAGGGCCGCAGCCGTGCTGCTCCTCCCAGAACCTGCTGATTGTATTGTGTCTGGTTCGGAATGTCAACACTACAATCCGGATCAACAACAGCACACACTGACTGCATCAGCTGTGCCTCAGCTCTGCTCCAGAGCAGCGTAACAGAGCAGGGATGGAAGGAAAATCAATAGTCTTGGGGAGGGCGGGGCAGGGGAAACAGCAGCTCATGTCCACAAAAACCAACTCCCTCGCCTCTCCTCACTGCGGTACCCAATTAAGGTTTTTGGTGCAAAGGTCATTGCTGTAGTTTTTTTGGTACAAAAGAAAACAAAAAGCCTCCTTAAAGTGTAACTTTGCAGGCTACAACGTTAACAGGAAAATCTGCAGGCTTCAATACTTAGTTGGGATTGACTTCAGGGTGTGTTTTAATGATGAATTTTGCCATTCATAAAACTACAGGTGGATGATTTCGTTATGGACTTGCTTAAATGCAAGTGAAGCGGTCTGCAGCTTAACCAGAGTCGGGAGAGGGCTCCTCCCAAAAAATTCCATTGAAAGCACCTGGAGGCATTCAGCCCTTTTGGTACTTTGGACACTATGTAAAAGTGTCAGTAGACTGTGCAAGACGTAAAGTTCCAGGTTATTGACTTGCTGGGATCTGTTTCCAGTTCCGTACGGCTGACCAAGAGCGTGGTGTGCTCCTTACAGCTCTGATCCCTCCGGACTGCGCTGTTGTGCTTCTCCAGCTCAGCCTCACGCAGCAGAGACGAGCCACGCGCCCTGCCACGGGTCCGTGAGGGTGGGCTGGAAGGAAGGGCCCTGACTTCCCAGCGCTGGAATGCCTAGTCCGCTCCCAGCGCTGGGAAGACAAGTAACACCATGGACGCAGATGGGTGATTTCCCCCAGCTCCCAGAACATAAGGGCTTTCTTTTGAAAGGGCACTTGGACTTGCTTTGTGATTTAAATGCTCAGAGGCTTCACGTCTTTGGTGGAGGTGGAGGGATGCCATCGCTGAAGTTACAATATTCTCATCTGGGCAAGAAACATTTAAATGTGGACGCTTTTGCTCCGCTTATTTTCAGCCCAGTGAAAATTTTTCTCCTGTCACTTCAGAGCGTGAGCTCTTTCTTTTGAAAGGGCACTTGGACTTGCTTTGTGATTTAAATGCTCAGAGGCTTCACGTCTTTGGTGGAGGTGGAGGGATGCCATCGCTGAAGTTACAATATTCTCATCTGGGCAAGAAACATTTAAATGTGGACGCTTTTGCTCCGCTTATTTTCAGCCCAGTGAAAATTTTTCTCCTGTCACTTCAGAGCGTGAGCTCTTTCCATCCCCAGCAGGCAGGCCAACACATCTGGGTAAGTCTTTGTGAAGGGGCGAGAGATTAAGGACTTCCAAGGTTTACATTTTTAGAGAGCAACTGTTCATCATTAGGCCAAATGCCCTCTGACATTTAACTTAATTGGGAAGTTTAAAAAATACATATATACACACGCACACACGATTTCCTGAATCTCTTTTCCATGAGTCTTAACGTGGGCAAAAAGCGGGAGTGCTCAACATGCTTTTCATAGCAATAATTAAGTCTTTCCTGCCCTCTGTTGACAAATACAACCAATAAACTTCACTGAAATACATTGGAAGCATGTGATTTTAGTAGACAAATGAGGTATCCCTTATCTGAATACAGTATCAAGTAAAAAAATAAAAGCAAAGGGATATTAAATATAAAAGATAAACTATTAGTTAAAATAGTAACCCTAACAATAACTTAAGGTTTTACACACACTTAATTCACTGCCCTCAAAAGGCAGCAGCATAAATGTACCAGCTTTTCGTACCCTGGCTGAATCTCGACGAGTCAGTAAGTCAGCTTCGATGCTCTGCTGTTGTAGCACGGTCTCTCCGTCAAAGTTGACGCAGCGTTCCTGAAAGGAGAGCTGTCGCTTTTCACAAGGACTAACTCCAGCTCCTGGAAGTCCTGAAGTCTGGCAACATCCTTGTCCTTTTAAAGAACAGACACGTTACTTCTAAACACATCTGGTGATTAACTCTTTATCATAACAGCTAAAGGAAGTAAAAACGAAAATTCCAGGGAGGTCACACCCAATGACAGGAATAAGTAATGAATGAAAAAAATCCTACCCGTACACACCCTTTCTTTCAAAGCGTGTTTGGGGGCTTTTCCCCTTACACCGTACATTTTTTTTCTCCTTGATCCTCATTATGATTTGACTCGGTGCATGTCACTGAACTGTGCGTTGTGACCACACACGTTTCATTTACAGCCCTCCAGAAGAGGTATTTTTGGAACAGAAGAGCATGTTCATTTGTTAACAGCGTAGCTTTTAAATTATTCACGAGCCAATCTGTGGGTTTCTTTCCCCTTATGATTTGGTTTTTTTTTTTAGGCAACAAACAGTAGAGTAGTACATGGCAATTACGGTAAAAGCACACTAATGCGCTGTTTGATACAGTTAAAAAAAAAAAAAAAAGTCAAGCTGTAACAGTTTCAGGCACTTTAGGAGCTGAAATACTCTGCCTACTTTGACAAGAATATTTTTAAGTTATGATGAAGTTTTAAGAAAAGTCCAACATCCTTTTGAGTTTGTGAGGTTAAGTCAGTTCGGGGGTTTTTTTTTAACATGTTTTGCCCATCATTTTACAAAAACACCTTCTCTGATGTCTGCAAAGTGCAAAGTCAAATTAATCTCTGATTTTTGATTCTTACCTTTCTTACTAGCGTATTAGGTAATTTTCTTATCTTCTCTACTTGTTCTGGATTAATGCCCAGTTCACAGCAACTCACTCTGAGCAGATCTTGATAGGTCAGTTCTTGCCTGTCCAGTTCAATTTCAATGAAGTCATTGTCTCTCAGGTTCTGGACTCTCACCTTAAGCACAAGTTCTGATTGAAAAGGAGATTTAAAGGTTGGGGGGTTTTTTCCCCTCAAAAAAAAAAAACCCAACCAACCCAAACCTAACACTAAAATATTTACCATTATCTTTTGAATTCAGGTTTTATAGCACAAGACCTATGATCTCACTGAGAAATACTGTGCAGCTAATAGAAGCTTCCAGTTGAACAGCAAGAAATGCAGAGGGGAGCCATGCCTACGGCGTTAAACTTTGAGCCATCCGCTCAGAACGCTGTGACTAGACTGCCAGAGGTGCACGTGATGCTATACAACACAGTGCAGAATCTGAATGTTTATGTTGCTTGGACTGATCTTGCCATCAGTTTGCGAAGTATTGCCATGTTTAAAATGCAGTGTAACAGTTATTTTACTAAGCAGAGCAGAAAAATAAAGTTCTGGGTACTTTGGGCCAAAGGAATTCAACATCTCTGCCTCGATTCCTCAAGTCTGAAAGTGGAATGATTCTGCAAGCGAGTCTTTCACCCGGTAACAGAAACACGGAACAGAACGTAGCAGAAGGATGGGAAATTACACTTCATTACCTTGCATGTTATATGGGAAAGTTCCAGTAAAGAAAAAAGGCTGAAACGTCGGGGCGGGACCCGTCGGTGACGTGTCGGTTTGCAGAGGAACAGCCTGTTCGGGCGCTGCGGGCGGGGACAGACCCCTGCCGGGAGGCCGGGCAGCGGGGCCGTGCGGGGCTTCAGGTTCTGGAGCTGCGACGGC